GAACTCGTACATGCACCGGCTGCTGCTGCTGGACGCGCCCTGAGCCGCCAATAAAGACTGTTGGGCCCGCGCCGTCTCCTGCGCCTGTGTTGGGTCTGCGCCGGCAGAGCTTGGGTCTCGCCCCTCCGCCCCCACCCCCTTTTCAGACAGGGTCTCACTGTGTAGCCCAGGCTGGCCTCAGACTAGCAGCGATCTTCCTGCCTCAGCCTCCTGAGTGCCTGGATGACAGGTGTGTGCCACCACGCCTAGTTTTTACCCCACCCCCCCATTTCTCTTGGAAGCCGGCTTCCTTCCTTCCTCCCTGCGGACCTGGTCCTGCACAGCCAGCTCGGTTCCTCTCACCCTGGACCTGTTGTAGTGCACTGCGTCGGCGCTCCCACCTCCCGTCTCTTTCTGGTTTTGTCACCTCACCGTCCCTGTCCCTCTCTGCGTCTCCGCCCCTCTGGGTCTCTTTCCTTTCTGGGTGTCCTCCCGGGCCCTCTGGAGATCTCTGCTTCCCCTCTCGACTCTTCCGTCTCCGAGACTCTTCCCTTTTAAGCACCCTGCCCCTTTTCTCTGCTTGGCTTTCTCATGGCTTCCGTTTCCTTCTGCCTTCGGGTCTCCATTCTCTCTCCTTCAGCTCTCATTCTGTTTTGCTGTTACCCCTCGTCGCCTCTAGACTTTCCCCTAGGAATGCAGCTTCCACACATCTCTGCGGCTGCTTTTCCTCGTCTGTAATAGGATTGTCAGATCCTGTACTGTACAGTGCTTCAGCACAGAGCCCGACGCGCAGAATAATCCTAATTAGAAGCAGCCTTTCCTCCCGCCTCGCGGCAGTTTCTCAGGGTTCCGACTGCGACCTTCCCGGGAGAGCAAGGGGCGCCAGGCTGGGGCTGGGGAGGGGAGTCACCTGGGCAGCAGGTGAAGCCAGAGCGAAGAGGCAGCCAATCAGAATGCGCTTCTCTCCCTGGAGGCTGGACCAGACCTTTGGCCCCGCCCCTCAACGTTGACCAGCCACACGCTCCCGGCGGTACGCGAAGGGCGTGGATTCGAGCCACGGGGGGGATAGGAGGGGGGAGGCACAGCTCGTGCGGACCGCATTCTGATTGGTGTAAAAGGGAGGCGGGTTGCCCGCACGTAGAGGGGCGTGGCTGGCGTGATTCCCCTCATTGGCCCTTAGACTGCGGGGGCGGGGCTGTCTCCGCAATCATTCTGAAATAACGTAGGAGGGCCCGGGATTTAGCTCTGCGGGGCTGCCGCCTGCTTCGCTTGAGCAAGGTCCAGAGTTCGACCCCCGGTACAAAAACAAAAACAACAAAAAATGAAGTAATAAGTATTCGTTACAACCACCGGGAGTTGGCCTAATTTTACAAATAAAGATGATTTAAAGTTAGGAGTAATTTCCTCAAGTTGTCAGCAGGATAGCTGCAATCCAAATGCGTGTAATTTCAAAGATGCAGGTTTCCGCACTGCTCTAGGAGGACATGGGATGCCCCAGCCCGAGCAGTCGCTGCTTGCCAGGCGCTCTTCTGCCTGCCGCACTGGTACAGTTCTCGCCCCCTCACCACTTAACTGGAGTCTCCACTCCAGGGCCTAGTAGCTGGGTACCGGCCTGGGCTCTTCCCCTACTCGACTTTCTCCCACCCCTTTTTTCACTTCCCACCACACTGCACCCTCAAATTCTTCTCGGGCTGCAAGAAAAACAAGAAACCAAACCAGACCAAACCTCCGCACACGGGTCCGTCTCCCCGAGCTGGTCTCCGCGCAGACTGTTCCTCCGCCTGTGACCACACCTCCCCTAAGCACTGCAGCCAGGCCAAGCAGGTGCGACTTAGCTGCGAGGAGCCCTTCGGGGAACCCCAGTACGATGCCCGTGTGCCGGGCACAGGTGTGGGTCCCGTGATCCCCCATTCTGAGGAGAGGGTTCCCAGCCTCCATCCACTCCCCTCCTGTCCCCCAGCTCAGGGTGGGAAGGGTTTTCAGCATTACACTGCAGCAAAGCTAAGCCCTGAAGACGGTCAGCATTAACCAGGGGAGGGCTTCGGTGGGGGTGGAAGACAGCCCAGTACGGACCTAGGACGCGGTCAGGCCAGGACCAGCCCAGGTTCCTGGCTACGGGCAGCGGCAGAACGCTCAGGACCTGGTGCAGGGCAGGGTGGAGGCAGAGACAAGGTAGGAAGGAGGGAGAGACTGGAGCCTGAGAGCCCTTTCAAATCAGCCTGGTGATGCACGGGGCAGAAACCCAGGGTCTGCGGGGGGCCCGCAATGAACTCGGTGCGCCATTCCCTTCAGCGCTTTCAGCTTGTCAGGGATCTCAATGCCCATTAGCTGCGGCCCAGCACCCCTTCCTCACACAGGGATTGCGGATGCCCAGCCTCCCAACGGTCTGGCCAGAGGCAAGTGGCTCCGATGTGGGGTGAAGAGCTGTGACAGCTGCCATCTTCTGGGCCTGAGGGAAGGGCCGCAGAGTCGCAGAGGCCCTGGCCACGCTGCCCTCCCTACTCCACCCTTGTGCGGTGAGGAAATGAGTGATCCACAGCATCAAAGCCACTATTGGGTACATTTTGTTTTTGTCAAGAAATGGAGTTGCAGCAGTAGGAAATCGGGACACTTCACATGAAAACCCAACAAGGGACGAGGCTGCCCTTGCACTGGCTCTGGCTGTGTGGACATTGGCAGGCAGTACCAGGCTGGTGCCGGGGCGGCTGGCGGCACCTACACTGGCGGCGGCTGGAGGTAGCAGAGCTGCAGGTGGGGCCAGGTGGGCGGCGGGGCCTGGCCCAGCAGCAGCACCGAGAGCAGCAGCAGCAGCAGCAGCACAGGACCCAGGACCCGGGCAGGGAGCAGTGGGTGCCGAATGGCCCTAGTGGGGGTGCAGGAGAGGGCTTAGTGTGGGAGCCATGGTCTCCCCGGGTCTGGCCACCTCCCTCACCCAGAGACACTGCACACCTGGGTGCCTGGGGATACAGTGGGGACAGGCAGCACTGGCCCCCGGGCCTCCCGGTGTGGATCAGCTCATTCACCATGGGTACCAGGGCTTGCTGGAACGCCAGCTCGACAGGACTGTGGAGGGACAGGAGGGAAAGAATCACCCCACTGTCTGTCCCCAAGTCCCTTCCAGTCCCTCTGGGTCCATTACCTCTCAGGAGAGCATCCTGGGATGTTTCCAGGGTGAGGGTCTCTCAGAAGGGTGGGCAGGTCAGCCTGGGAGGACAAAGGAGACGTGACGGCACGGGAGGTGGCAGATGCTGGGGTTGGTTCCCTTCTTTGGAACATGATGTCCGGTGGAGGTCCCAGCTCTGCAACTTCTGGCCATGTACCCTTTGGCAGGTCACGCCATACCTCTCTATGCCTTGCTTTACCCACCCGTCAGGAGTGTGACAGTCCCCACCTCATACAGTAACCACAGAGGCTGGAAGAGTGAATGCAGGAAGCTGGGCATGGTGGCGCACACCTGTGATCCTAGCACTAGGGAGGCTGAGGCAGGAGGGTCACTGCAATTTTTAAGGCCAACCTGAACTACATAGCAAGACCCTGTTTCAATTAAAAAAAAAAAAAAA